CCACAGGTGCTTTTTTTGAAATTTTCATCATCTTTAACCTCAATGCAAAGCTCTATAATCCGGGACATTTTGACTGGAACACAAAAATAGTTATTAATAGTTAGTAATGTTAGACTAAACACATTACACATTACTGATGCCATCCAAGATATAGATGTTCTTTATCAGAACCGATTTGGAGAAATTTAGCATTACATCACTTACTCACCAAAGGATCCTCTGCAGTGAGAATGAATGAGAGTCGGAATGAGAGTCCAAACAGCTAATAAAAACATTACAATAATTCACAAGCAATCCACACAGCTCCAGTCCATCAGTTAACAACTTGTGAAGCAAAAAGCTGCTTGCTTGTAATAAACAAATCCATCAATACAATATTAACTCGTCCACCATATGCTTTCTCTATAGTGAAAAAGTCGAGTTATCTAAATCAGGAGAGAAATATGCACAGATTAAGCACTTCTTACTAGCAAAAACAGTCCAAAACAGTTCTAAACAAATGATGGGAGAGGCCAACAGGGGATGGACTTTTCCACTGAAGGAAGCATTATTATGGATTTTGGCCAGAGGCGATGGTTTACAGTTAAAATGCTTTAATGATGGATTTGTGTCTTACAAACTCAGCTTTTTGCTTCACAAGACTTTAACTTATCAGCTGAAATCTTGTGGATCAACTTGTGGATTATTGTGATGTTTTTATGGTCCCTGATGGGCCTTTTTCTGTAGAGTAGCTCCTAAATAGAAACCTTCTTCTTGTATAATGATACTAACAGTAATTAGATCATGATCAGTCTTATAGACGGTCAAAGGTTTATTGTCAAATGGAGACAGTGTTTTTCTTCCCCATCGTGTCCAGCCAATCGTCCAAACTGCCCAAAGCAGGTACAGACAAGAAAACCATCCAGAACCAGTTCTGTTTTGCGTCACCAAAGCTCCTTCTGTTTTGCGATGGCTGACACCTGTTCCTCTCAATTCATCAGTGCAGCAGTCCGTTCACCATCCCACTCTCCATCGCTCTCACAGCTGGAGAGATGAGCTCAGCCAGCAACAAAGGCATTTGTGTTCCTGAGTGTTTGAGGAGAAAGCAAACGTGGTAATTAATGACCCTTAGCAGAAACGAAAGAAAGAGTTTGTCATGAATTTCATATGCAGATACTTAGACTAACAGACTTGGTTGCCACAACACAACAGCCAAGAAATACTGAATAATGAGTATTGTTATATGTGTATTGTTTTAGAATGACAGTGATGTGTCATGGAATAGAAGCGTGCTTAAATTAGAATCAGTCACATTATGAGCTTGGGACAACTTAGTGGAAATAGCAGTTCTGTTCATATGAAAAATAACCATAGAGAAACAACAAAATAAAGGCACAAATGAGGAAAACTGTTGACATACAGTCTGAGTGTAAAGCTATGTAATCTAGTTAATTTGGTTAAGTTACTTGGTGAGAAATGTTGTTTGTTATCTTGTTACAAGTGTTTGCAAACTTTTTGGGGCCACAGATCCTCAAATATTATGATCCCCTTGTGTAATATAAAATATGAAGCTTGCTATTATGTTTTCAAGTAGAAAGACCTGCAAAAAAAAAACGTATATATGTGTAAAATAACATGGTTTTTTTTAATCCACAATTCAAGTACTGTTAAGTAAATTACAATTATTAGTATTCGATTACTGAACATAAAACTATGAATCCCATTTGAATGAAATAACTGATTTCATCACTTCAATCTGTAGAAAGCAGAATAAAATGGTAATAATTTTTTTAAAATTCTGTACATTTTTTTAAAGGGGTGGTTCATTGCGATTTCACTTTTTTAATGTTAGTTAGTGTGTAATGTTGCTGATTGAGCATAAACAATATCTGCAAAGTTACGAAGCTGAAAGTTCAATGCAAACGGAGATATCGTCTTTTAAAATTCTGGCAGTTTAATGCCTACAAAAACGGCTGGTAGGGACTACAACAAGTTACTTCCCGGGTTCGTGACATCACAAACCCAGATAAACCCCGCCCCTGGGAAGGGCGGGATGTTAGACGTGCACTAGAGGCGGGTTAGCCAATCACAACACACTGGGCTAGCTAACCAATCAGAGCCCATAGCCTATTTCTGAGGGCGGGGCTTCATAAAAACAGGAAAATATCAGGGCGTTTCTCAGAGAAGGGACAGAGCTGTGTGGAATAAAGGATAATTATGTGAAAAATAATGCGTTTTTTTTTTTTTTTAAACGAAGCATTAACACATGTTGGACTGCACCCCAGAAACACAATCAAGCCTAGAAAAAAACAGTGAACCACCCCTTTAAAATATGCATTTAAAAATGCATATGTACTGTATATATTTTAAATAATTATAAACTACCTTTCAAATGTTTGGGGTCGGTATGCATTTTTAAATGTTTTCTTATTTTTTTCTACTGTTTTCAATTGTAATATATTTTAAAATGTAATTTGTAATTTTAAAATATAATTTATTTCATTTTTAGTATCATCACTCCAGTCTCCAGTATCACATGATCCTTCAGAAATCATTCTAATATGCTGATATTCTGCTGCTCAAGAAACATTTCTTATTATTATTAAAGCTAAAAACATTTGTGCCGCTTAATATTTTCATAGAAACCATGACACTTTTCTTTGATGAATAGAAAGTTCAAAAGAACTTATTTGAAACTAAATATTTTCTAAATACTAGAAAATATTTTCTAACGTCACAAATGTCACTTTTGATAAATTGCATTTCTTTAAAAAGATTATTTTTTTTGCTTTAACTTTTGCACATGCTTCATAGCACCTCGTTCCAGCCTCAGAATTTAAGAGCTTAAAAAAGTACAGTGTGTGACAATGTCAAGATTGCTTCCGAAACTACCTTTTGATCAGGAAAAAAAATGTAATAAGCAGCAGAGCAAACATCTATATTTGCTTTGATTCTAATCTCTATGCTGTTGGAGAGAAATGATATTAATGAGATCTCAGTTGTGATTTTATATTTTCCTAAGGGATCAATTAATTTCAATCAAGTCGACACATATATGTGACTTGTAGGTTAATGTAATCATGGAGACTGAAATTAATGTACTTTTTGCTAATGATGTTGCCATAATTAACATGCTAGACTGTTGGAAATGTCAGAGACGCTACCTATCATCACAGAATGAGTAATAACTTTCATCGTTTCGCTCATGCAAAAGATGATGGGCAGTAAAGGCAGCAACAAGAGAAGCTGATCCATGCTAGGTTAACATCTTTGGAGGAGTTAGTTGGTCATTCAGTAATTGGTTCCTAATCCCTCAAAATATTATAGAATCCCTACAAGAGCAAACAGCCAACAATAGAGTGCAGTACGTCTGCAGAGCAGTGATAAGGACCCTTGGGATGCACCAGGGAACTTCTGCATTGTGAGTCTGGATTCTGACTGCTCTGTGGATGCTCCCCATTGCTTTCATTATCAGGGAGAAAGGAATATTGTGGCTCTTTGGAGTAATACAAAGGGAGGGAAGGACCGTTTCTAATCCCCGGGGAAGTGTTCCTGCAAGGGAAAGATGAAGTCTTGATGATGGCCTCTATTATACTGCTACCGAAACAGGTCTGAAGCCTTATCGGCCTGCCTGTATCTACTGAGGTCTTATGTAGGAAGAGAAAGTAGCTTTAAAGATTCAGTATGAACTGGAATCTTGGAATAAAGACTCTATTTCAAGCTCTGTACGAGAACTAAATATATAGGGATGATAAGTGGTCTTGACACTGTGACTATAGTGGAATAACTAGAGTGGTTTATTGGTTTACTTCAATTGAGAGTTATTATTTGACAGCTAACCAGAAACTTCAGGCTCAAAAATGATACAAAATAACTTTTACGCTAGTGTAGGGTGACCATACGTGCCATTTTCCCAGGACGCGTCCTGGCCAGGATTTCTATATTGCCTAAAATATCTAGGTTTTGGCTTTGTTTGCGTGTGCTGACCAATCGGTGTATGACATCAAAGTACCATACAGACGGTTATGCTTTCGAAACGCTCTCGAGGTACTTTGATGTCAAACACTGATCGGTCTGATTTTATTTTAGATTTATATTTTTAGTATTAATATTATTTTTTATGTATCCCCATTTTGTGCTTTCTTAAATCCTATTGTTTTTCAAATTAAAATATAATATAAAAATCATAGTATTAAAATATAAAACATTTTAAAAATATATATTTTTAACGAATAAGTATATATATATATACAGTGTTGCGGGTAACGCATTACAAGTAACGCGAGTTACGTAATCAGATTACTTTTTTCAAGTAACTAGTAAAGTAACGAGTAACGCAATATTGTAATGCATTACTTTTAAAAGTAACTTTCCCCTATATATATATATATATATATATATATATATATATATGTAAACCACAGACCTTATTTTAGGAATTTAACCAAAGACCCATTCAAAAATTCCATTGATTTCAGGACTATAGAACCTATAGTACTGTATGTCATCCCTGCAGCCAACCCTAATCCCTTGATCCCCAGCCTACACTGCTCCCTTACCTCACATTACACCCTGAAGAACCCTAATTTCAAATATAAACACTACTGCCCTCTGCTGCTTGGGAGAGGTATTGTGAAGCTGCATTCACTATCTCTTAAACAACAAGAAGTATTGAAAATGACATGAGATCTTATCTCATATTATTTGCTTAGTTTGTTTGTCCTTGTAACTTGTTGGTCCAGAAAACAGCAAGTGAGATGTGAGGGCCATCCAAGCTTGTAAATGTTAAAAGAAAGGGTCAAAAAGACAACATAGTGAAGACTAGAAGAGAGCACAGAGAGTCTCAGTGGCCTGTCCCGAAGCAGGTGGTTGTTAAGGATAATCCAGGTAAGTCTTTAATGCTGGAGATGTGCTGGAGGAGACGAGTGGAGGGGAGGCGGGCGGAGAGATTGCTAATTGTGGCCTACTAATCCAAC